ATCCTAGTTGTTCTATTTTCCCGGAGAATGCTGACTAATACAGAGGCCAAGGATACTTTGTATGGATATATGTTTTAATTTCTTTTGGGAAAATACCTGGGATTGGAATTGCTTCGTCATACAGAAAGTATAAATTTAATTTCATAAGAAACTGCCAAAACTTCTCTCAAAGTGGCTATATACTCTCACTAACATGGTATGAGAATTCTGTTTGCTCCACATCCTCCCCAGTGTTTGTTATTTGTCTTTATAGTTTTAGCAATTGCAGTAGGAGGCTAATGGTATCTCACTGATGTTTTAATTTGCATTTCTTTAATGATCAATAAATATTGATTTGTTGTCCATTTGCAAGTCTTTAGTGATGTGTCTTTTCTAATGGTTTGCCCATATTTAGTGTGTTTTTGTCTCTTTATAATTGTGTTGTAGGTTTCAGATATCTTGGATACAAGTCTTTTGTCAGATACATATTCAATAAATATATTCTCTTGGCCTGTGGCTTGCCTTTTTACTTTTTTAACTTTTTTTTTTTTTTTTACTTTTTAACTGTTTCTTCTTTAATATATGTTTTGATGAGAGAAGCTTTTATTTTAATGGAATCTAACTTACAAATGTGTTTTGTTTATTCCTTTTGTGATCTGATAAGAAATCTTTCACTACCCTCATGTCACAGAAATATTCTATTTCCTTCTAAAAGCTTTATGGTCATTCTTGAATTAATTTTTATGAATAGTGTGAATTAAGAGTAGAGATACATTTGTCTCCATATGGATATACAGTTTTCCTGGAATCATTTTTTAATTGGACTTTTCATTACTCATTGAATTGTTTTGGCAACTATATTGAAAAACCAAATGTCCCTGTAAATCAGTCTCCATTTCTGGGATTTCTATTCTATTCTATCTCATTAATGTATTTGTCTATTTTTTATGCTAGTACTACACTTCTGAAGCTTTATAGTAAATACTTATTTCTGGTGGAGTAAGTTTTTTAAGTTTGTTCTTCTTTTCCAGTTTGCTTTAGATATTCTAGGTTTTTTGCATTTCTGTATAAACTTTAAAGTCAATTTATAAATCTCTTTCTAAAAACACCGCTAGAAATACAATTGAGGTTGCACTGAATATATAGATCATTTTAGGTAGAGTTGGAATCTTAATAATATTGAGCCTTCCAGTCCATGAACATGAAGCATCTCATCTCTTATTTAGGTCTGCTTTAATTTTTTTCAGTGATATTTTGTAGCTATCTGTATGAATCCCCTGAATTTCTTTTGTTAAACTCATTCTTAGACATTTAATGGAGGCATTGATTCTATAGCAAATGAAATAATTCTTAATTTTATTTTCTGATTACTTGATGCTTATATATAAGAATATAATTTATTTATATTATATTCTGTGACATGGATAAATTCAAGCATTAGTTCTGGTGGTGGTTATGTAGATTCCTTAGGATTCACTACATACTTTTTAATGTCATCTGCAAATAAATACAATTATATTTCTTCTTTAACAATTTGAATACCTTTTTTTGTTTTTATCCATTATTGTAATGGTTATGGCCTCTAAAATAATATTAAATAAAGGTAGTGAGAGTAGATATCCTTGCCTTGTTCCTGATTTTAGGAAAGTGTTTAATTTCACATTTGAATATAATGTTACTGGTTGATTTTACAGGGGTACTAGTTATCAGGTTAAGGAAGTTCACCTCTATTCATAGATGCCGAGAATTTTTATTCCGAGTGGATCTT